ATTTAGATATTAAATGGTATTGTTCTAAGACATACACATACTAACTTGGAATCCAATAATGACCCATTCCTGCAAAATATATATATATATATAAAATTATTGGCTTTATGGTAAAAGTTCCTGGTGTATTGTACACAGTGAAGACAACTGTGCGCATCCCTGACATTAATGCATGTATATATCAAGGCATGAATTATATACAAGTGTTGGTGCAGCCACGCTCATCCTATTACTTTGCAATGTGTTAAAATAGTTCTAAACTCTGCACCAAACACGAGTGTTGATGAATTCAGGATAATATGAGGATATTTACACATTGCATGGGCACAGTTATGAAAAACAAAAATAAAGATATCTTGTGATACACTCGGGTATCTCTAGGTACATAGCACAATATAAAAAGTTACCAGGTTTTTATATATAATATACATATAATTATGAATAAAAAGAAAACATGCTAGCACAAGTACTGGTCATGTCACCCTTGTTTTTATATATAAGAATTCAATATAAAATACACATGGGGTATTTGACTAACCTTGTACAGCATTTGTACTTGGCAATGATTTAAATTAGGGTAAAGTTGCTGGTAATGAGCCGGACCTATTCAGCGACCATTTGCGAGGGAGAGAAGAGAGAAACTATTGGCCTACAATACCACATACTAAACCTATACTGTACAATTATAGCAAGTCTTTATAAACATTATAATTAGATGTTAAAATATTGAAAATATCTAAAAAGAAATACAGTATGAAAACAATTGAAATATTGATCCTGTTTTCTGTGCGAGTTTCTAGCAAAATATTTTTGTTCGTACAGATGTTTATTTTCAGGCTAAAACCAAGAACTCCCAAATCAATCAAAATCAATAAAGACATTGGCACACACCGTGCATACTAATAGCAGTTTTTAATACTCAGCAGTTCCCAAAGAATAGGTCACCCAACACTGAGGTGGCCAATGCTGGTTCTTGGCCATGGTGAAGCCAACCAAAACCAAGCAGCCCCAAATACTGTATATTGAAAGCACTAAAACATACTGACACACCATGTTACCTTCTACAGTAATTCAGTATCAAGTCTTAATGATAGTGGTTCTCGCAATGGAAGCCAATTTTTGGGTGGGAGCAGAGCCAGGTTTCGGCCATTTGGATTTTGGGCCTATGAGTATTAAATATATTATTGTTGTAATGTTGAATGGAGAGGATAGGCATACAAATTATAAATATACTGTACATGCTTATATTAGTGAAAATTCTTTATAATTGGGTGGATATACCTACTTGACTCATCTCATATTTTGGGTAAAATCTTAGTAATTTTCAGTATGTACACAATAGAACGTTGTTATACTATATAAATAAATTTAATTTTCAATTCCAAGCCTTTTCAAAGACTGTGATTCAACTTCCATACCAAGAAGTAGCTCAAGTGGCAGGAGACCAGCTGCTTTACCCTAAGTGTCATACATATTGCAGCTAGTTTTTGTAGATTACAAGGCCACACACAATAATTATAGTTTATACAAATTAATAGTTAAGAATTATGAGGAGCCCCAATTGATCTTTAACTGTCCTGCAGATAAGATGATTATTAGTTGTATGATGGGTAGCTCCAAGCTAAGATATGGCATGTAGTTCAGCACTATAACTGGGTTAATTATAAACACATTTACTACATACACAAGTTTGTGACTCTCCATTGTGAAGGAGACAACTTGTCTCCAAGTTTACACTTTTGAAATGCTACAATACAGTACCTAAATTTATCTACAAGTCAGGCCTTCTAATTAAAATTCTTAATAAAACTAGTTAATAATATACTTTGATTACAAAGAAAAAAAAAAGGCATCAATGGAAAATATGGAATTTGATGTTTTAAGTTTGTCCTCAATCTTCAGCAAGTGACCAATAAAATAAACTTGGGGACATTTATAAAGGGTCTGCCAAAAGTACACTACAGACACTAGATATATTTTCAACAGACGTAATTTATATTCCTTTTTCAAGACTGTAGATTAAGGAACGCAGTAAAATAAACAGACAATATATCATTACTCTTATTGTCAAGCTTTATTTCACAAGCAAGTGACTGCAAACCAAAGTGTGTATCTTCATGGACTAGATATTAATGTTGGTCCTTCTCAGTGCAGCATCCAGAAGCAGATTTCAGGAGCATGAAAATGTTAATGACAAACAGTTTGAGAATGAGTAAACAAAGATCATACTGCACCAACAAACTCTATTCTCTATTGTTTAAAGTTAAATCTGCACACTTACTTTGGCAAACCCCGGTATATTTGTTCACCCCAACCTTCATTTGTCATGACACACATCTATTTTCTATTTAACAAAATTTTTTCACAGAGAGAATGAGTTATGAATGAAGATTTTAACCAAAAAATTCAGAAACTGGCCACATGTTCACCTTCAAAGTAAAAGGTTCACCAGCAACATCCAAAACATTTCCCAAATTTTGTCTCTTGATTTACCTATGAAACACTCCATGAAAGAGGTGCCATTTCCTTGCTTTGAAACACAAATTTGTAAAGAATATCCTACAATATGAAATGAAATATGTATGAATGTACAGAGAGCCCGACAGTTATCAAAACCCACGGCAGTATAAGGGCATTTTTCTCTATTATATCACAGGATTAATACAATGTGCCACCTTTGATACTTGAAAGTTCCAAATCTAGCAAGTAGTAAATGTTTTTTTTAAAGACTGTTGAAAATAATTTATTAATAGCAAATATAGGAGAGGAAAGGACGCCACATCACACCTTTGCCTCGCAACTCTTGCCTTGCAGGTACTAAGATTCACTATAATAATAAAGGTTACATTCAAAAGTGGCACCACCACCATCTTCCACTCATTACTACTCCTCACCAAGACCTACAACATTCATCACAAATTCCAAATATTTTTTACTCGTTGAATTGATTTTGTGAAGCATTGTGGGAATTTTTAATCTAAGGAGTGTGAGGGATTATTCAGAGCAGTAAAATCCTTTTATATGAACAGCACGGTTATGTAATGTTTCCCTGGCTCTTAATATATGGTAGGTAGGAAAGAATGAGACTAGTTGGGGTGGTTAAAGAAAAAATACCAGGAGGAGAGGAAATGGATGGTGATGGGGATAATTTGTTGTTAATGACATGTTTGTAAGTAGATGATGCAGTGTTCATAAAAAAAAATTGAAAAAAATTGTGAATGAGTGTGATACGTGTGCAAAAGAAGAAAGTTGAAGGCCAATATACAGAGATTATAGTGTTTAAGAGAATGGAATGATGTAGATTTTGTAAATCCGTGTAGTGACAAGACTGAGTTATTTGAACTATAGCATAAAATGGGAAAAAAAGATAAGTATTAGTATTGGAATACTTATAAACAGTGTTAGATACATAGACGAGTATGAGAGGTGAAATCAAAGAGTAATGGGTGGAAGAACAGTGAACAGTTTAAATTAATAAAGATATGTTAGAATGAGAGTTACGAAAGGACCGAGTTAGTATACTAATCAAAGTCCTGGCAAACAGAAGTGATAAATGGGCACGGAATGGGGTCGAGTGCCCAAGGGTACCAGCAGTGATTTTTTTATTTATTTTGTTTTGAAAATGAGATGATGTAAGTATATGAGATAAGACATAACAATGAATAAGCATATGAGGGGTTTATCATGAGTGAAAGGGGGCATGTGAATGATATGTGGAGTGGTGTAGTGGGTGTAGCACAGTACACGTAGGTGGTATTAATATGCTAACACAATGCATCAAATTTTTTTACCAAGTAGTGTACAAGGGTAAAATAAGGGGGGTTCAAATGGTAGGTAGTAAATGACAAGTGTGTTGAAAGGCAATACTGGAGCAATATATGAGAGTGGGTGAGGGTATTAGAAAGCTTAGAAGAGTGAAGGATTTGTGTGGTGATTGAGATTTCAGGTGAAACTTCTGTAGTGACCATGCAGTCAAGGGGAGCTCCCAAGAATGGGTGAGGCAGCAAGGCTAAAAATCCCAAGTCTCAAAAAAAAAAGCAACAAGAGGAAAAAATACTGAAATATAACAAAGAAAAGTTGGCTCTTTAGCAGAGATAACTTAACACAACCCAAGATGTCAGTGCTAACAGTCACAAACAAAACAATCAATCACACCTTTCTCACTTTTCTTAAACTAACTGCATGACCTCCAGGCTACTTCCAACACTTTTCTCCAATCTTAAAGAGTATATAAATACTTTTGAAACTATGAACTCGGACCATCACCCAAATTTAGTTTTATATATCTTGTAATCCTTATGGAAATATTGGTTTTTCACTGTCGGGAACAGGAAGCCTATTCTTAGGCGTATTGAAGTCTACCTAGGCCAGCTACCGACCTCCTTTAAGACGCAAGCCACAACAACTGTCTAACTCCCAGGTAAACAGTGGCAGCATGTGAAAGAAAACATGACCAACAGTCTCTACCATGCCTGTGAATTAAAGCCAGATGTTCATTGCAGGTTTTAAAGGCTTCATGCCTTCACATATTTTAACACTATTCTCACTGATAATTGTCCCACTCTGCTGTACCTGAAGCTCTTGGCCTTATGTCTTTCATTTACCTGGCAATGTTCAGAATTTTTTTGTTTAAGCTTTTACAATAGGTAACATGAGTGGAAACAGGTCTAAGGACACACATCAAGTCTGAGGACATATGGAAGACAATTTTTTTAAATAAAAATATAAAAAATTATAATTTAGTCTACATACTAGTAAGTTGAAGAGAAAAAAGTTTGTGAATGAGAATTAAGAGTAGAACTTGAAGAGTGCACGAGTAAATATGTGTAGGGAATAGTGTTACTGACCTCCAGGTACACTATGGTAAGTTATAACAACAACAAATGGTGTAACATACCCAGTAATAACGTGTCGACGATATACTGTACTCAATACCAGCCTCTGCATTACTGGGACTGAAAATATGGCAGGGGGTAATGTGGGGCAAGAAAATGTCCCAATAGCAATTCTAAATATATACTTTCTCATAAACCAATTACAGCAATTCCTGACATTAATACATAACAAGTACTCCACCTCAACCTCGACCAGACTAATGGTCTCCAACCTCGTACAGTTCCTCACATTTTTGTAGCAACTTAAGAACAGGACTTATATTGTACGGAAAGAGATTTTTGGATACCAGACGGTCAATGGCAAAGCGGAGACGAATCAGGACGGTCATGACCTCCTCCAGTCGACGGCCACAGTGAGACGCAAATTCGTGCCAGCTGCGACGAATAAATTTGAGGTAGCGAAGCAGGTAAAGGAGGAAGGATGTCTCATTTGACACTAAGAGGTCAAGTAGCACATCATGTTCCAGGTAGATGGTCTCGAGGAACACGAGGAAGGTGGTGTGAGGGTTGACGCAGGCATGAAGTTCTGGTTGCTGCCTGCAATGAGAATTTATGTACACTATTATAATGTTTTTAAATGTTAACTCTGGTCATTGCCCGAGATGCCTTCTAACCCATGTACTCTTGTTCTTCCACCATACATTTATTTCCTCCAAGTATATATACTCTATAAAAACTCAAGAGTTTTAATTTATTATCTGCATCTTTAACTATCTTGTCATCATCTCAATACACAACTTTAAATTGTCATTAACATTCTGAAAACAGAATTATGATAAATAAGATAGAAATGAGAGCTGCAGCTCATAATACAGTCATGATTACTGACTAGATCATCAGTCATCCATCACACATCTCACACATCCACCAAAGTATTACAGTATTCTAAGCATTATTCTGAGTACAATATTCCTTCTATGACCAATACTGTACTTTCAGTCAGAACCCTGTATGTTTACCAACTAAGCAAGCGTGTTTGTTTTTACAACACTGGAGAGTGCAGGAGCAGAAACTTAAATCATTGAATCTTGTTTGTAGGCCAACAATTCTCACCACCACAGACAATATTAAGAGTCTCATTCTACATGTTTTACCCAAAATAACATTTGCAATCAATTTACATCAGGATCCCAGTTACTACTGGGTGCATGGGGTAAATGAAAAAACAATGCCTAATTGCTCTCACCATGCCTATGATTTAAATCTATGATTTGTCTCGTGCAATGCAATTGTGCTATCAATACAGTTAGACTTCTCTCCACATAAAAATATAGTATTATAGTGCAACCTCAAAAATACCCTAATCAGTATTGTAACAGAAACTTCAGAAATCCTCAATGTGGGTGGAGGGAGGATAATGTGGGTGGAGGGAGGACAATGTGGGTGGAGTGAAGACAATGTGGATCAGGGTGAGAGGTTGGTGAGGATTCTTTTACTTTCTATATCATAAAACATTTCTTTCTGATGTCGGGGGAAAAATTCTAATCATTCGAAGTAAAGAAATATTCAAATGTTAAATTCTGAGAATTTTCAAGTAAACTATTTGTAATAGATCTCTCAGTATCATATATATCTTCCTAGTCCATAAAAGGCCTTAAAATGTTGCAAGGCAAAAAAGGGTTCCTACCATAGATGTCAGTAAATGGATGCAGATGCACCTGACATGGCCCATAGTATTGTAATAATGTGCAGGATGGCAGCTAAAGCTTTCACAAATTTTCTAATATGACAAATGAAATTTGTAATATTGCAAAGCATATTAATTAAAGCTCCCACAGGTGACATGAGCACAATTGGTCCATCTTTTGAGAGCAACCGAAGCAGTTTAAGGATTAATACATTTTCCGTGTACGTTAGAACTGACAAAAATATGAAAACAAAAGTTGCCACTGTACGAAGTCTTGTACTGTACTCAATAATGAAAGTAAGCTTTTTAAATTTATTTAGTTTGTCATCACAATGTTGAATTCTTCAAATTAACAAAATTAAGTTGCCATTGAGCTACACTAGACCTACTAAATGCCAAGAGGAGCCTTAGCTTTATGATTGCATACAAGTCAAGTAATGTACAGTATTCTGGTAATATGTTTCAAATCTATAAAATAAAGCGTTCTCAAGAATCACACAAATCATAAACTTAGAGTCCCGGTAGTACAGTCGGGTTCGTTCTCAACTCACAATCGGGAATTTCAGGTTTGAATCCCGGGTAGAACAAAATTGGTTGGGTGTGTTTCCTACGACGTAATGCCCCTATTCACCTAGCAGTAAATAGGTACCCAGGAATTAGTTAGCTTGGTGTGATGTTACATCCTGGAGAGGGTCAGCAGTTTGACCTTGGGGGAAGGGGGAACCTCAATATAAGCTTAACATATATATAAACCCTGACTGCCTGTTTACCCAACACAATGAATTATTATTATTACTATATTTAGAAATGTGTAAAATAACTGTTACTGGACTACATTGTTCAGTTTCGTTTCTGTAGCACCCAGTCTTGTCAAATTGAAGCATTTTATGTAACAAGTCAAAATGACGAGGCATCGATGATACCGAAAGGAAACCTATCGAGAAAAACAAAAACATCACAAAAACCATAAGATACCTCAATTAGAGAGACTTAATAACAGGTACAAATGACTGGATTACAAGTATTCAGTGCTACGGCAAAACCTGAAGTGTGTTTTCACAAGAATAACCCCTGCCTGATTTGTACAAAAACTGAATCCATAGCAACACCTCCATAATGTAACATTTCAAAGTGAGCTGGTAAATTTTGAAGAAACGCCAGTACTCCCACACGTATCGTATTTCCTAAGTAATATTTAAGTATTATTATTGCATCAATGCAATAATAATAATAATCTTTAAATTATTGAGATTTAAAGCAGACTACTCTAATATTACAGTACCTGATTCGTATGCCGAGACCAGTGAAAATGTCGAGGCCACACACCATGGACTCGACCAGCCAGTCATCTTGATCAGCAAATAGACGCACCATCCACTCTGCCATTGGAGCCTCAGGGTGGAATGGCAATTTGGATTTCACAAAATCATCCACTTTGCGAACAACTTCTCTTAAACTACGTTCAATTATGGCCATATCTACATCCTCTGATCCAGAGCCACCAGATCGTGAGGAATTCTCAGAAGAAGAATCGCACCGAGTTTCTTTCACTGTGACGGCTATAGCTTTCAGCACAACTAATACCACTTTGTGTAGTATTGTTCGGTCACCCTGGTCCATGCCACTTGCTGTTCCTGAGCTGGGTCCAGCACTGGTGTCCATTGCAGAGCTTTGATTTGGCTGTGATCTGTTTCCCGCTGACCCTCCACAAGGCACACACTCCAGGAATCTACGATCCTTAACAGCACGAATAAGGAGGTGAGCCAAGTTACAGGGCTCCTCTGCTAATACGTCCTGGAGAGCCAGCGTACTCCCATAACACAAGACCTCATTATAAAGATCAAGCACTTTACGCCACACCACAGTATGTGTATGTCGTGTTAACGGAGTCATAAGACGTTCTAATCCTGAGTAAAATTCCTTTGTATCGGTCACTGACAAATTAGCTTTCACTGATATTAAAGACTCCCATAGTGTTAAAAATGACACAATAACATGTTCTCTTTCCATTGTAAACTCATTCACTAATTGTGTTAATCTTGCCACCAGAAGAAACCACTTGCGGTCAAGCTTCTTGGTTGCTACGTATTTTACTTCATTTGCCCCTTGAGTATCTGCTGGGGTCAAAGTAATCTTTGCACATTCAGGGGGCTGACCTGACTCTGATTCAGTTCCTTCTAAAGGATGTTCATCCAGGTCCTTCCATTCTATAACTCTCCTTACAACTTCAATTGAATGTCCAACCTCTATTAGGTTAACTGAAGTAGCCAAATTCTCAACAAGCTTTTCTAACACTAGCTCACTAGCACGACCACGTAACATAAGTAGTAACGAGGACAGTGCACGTGAGGCCGAGTAACTCACATACTTATCCTCAGAGGCCACAAAACCAAAAAGAATATCCAGAACTGCACCTTCATTATCTGCTCCTGCAGCTACCACCTCACTTATGCGAGAACACAGCACGCCTCGACTCTGCTGTCGTAAGGAGACTTCAAAAAACAAAGTAAGCATGCTGATGTAAAGCAGTGTCTCGTCTCTCAGCCGCAGCATATGGGCTACTGGATGAGAAGAAAAACAGTCGTTGCAAACAGCTAATGTATGGAGGATGTCGGGCAGCTGCAGGGAACAAAGACATTTGCGGATCAACTGGGCATGAATGATCTCCAGATCCCTCCTCGGCAGCAGCTGCCCCCCACTGTCATCCCCAGAGGGGGGCAACTTTGCCCTTTTCTGCTGAGGTTCTACCATTTTCACATGGCTCAAGATGATCACTTCACACTAGCATGGTTTCTGTATCTATCTCGAGTTCGGGGAAGGACAAGCACCAACAGCTGAAGCACGTGGGCCACCTCCATAGCACCCGCTTGGAGAGCCCACGCACAAGGACAGAGAAGCCCTCGCCTCTATGTTGTCCTGTGCTGTGCTCAGTGGCTGTGACATGGGAGGGATCCAAGGTCATAATCCCTCACTGCTCAGCACACACATGGCTGCCTCCATACTCCCCATGGTCCCAGCTACTGCCATGAGGCTGCACAAAACATAATCCTGAAAGATTCACTTTAATTAGTACAGTAACTGAGGTTTATAAATACAATTCTGTCCATTGAAAGAGCATAATATTTTCTGGAAGATAATAAACATAATGACAATATTCACAAGACAATAAAAATATCATCAAAACTACGTCAACCAATTTCCTGAACCATGGGCTAAATGGGAAGTATTATTTAAAAAAAAAAAAAAAAAAACACACACACATATTCCCTTTTACATAGTAATTTCAACCTCTCTCAAAATATATATATATATATATATATATATATATATATATATATATATATATATATATATATATATATATATATATATATATATATATATATATATATATATATATATATATGCAAGACATCTTTGTAGAACTGATGCTGTACTGCATATAATAAAAACCAAAATAACAACATACTGTACTGCATTTCCAAAATATAATTAAATGAGGCAAATAGTGGAAACAATTGAAAATGAAAACTGGATAGTCATGGGCCATATACCAAGACCCCCCAGAAACACACCGAGCATGTGGTGGTGTAGACAAACCTTACCTAATAACGTCAGGCCATTGAGAACCTACTACAATCTGCCTTCCTCTTTGAAACAATGTGAGCTTGGGGATTAGAGACTGACCCAAAACTAAGAGATGTATACAGAAATCAAAGGCACAAAACAAACAAAGCATGGTATTGCTTGAAGGAAATTAGGCATTCTGGGGTAAACAATGCAAATTGCTCATTGCCATGGGGTAAGTACTCTGCGATGCAACCAACTATCACCAAATAGCAACCCAGATGACTCAGAGTTCTAAGTCAGCCTGCCTCCTCACTCTGGAGCCACCCATTCCCATGTGGAAGAAGTGAACAATGCATTGACTGGGAGTACTGGGGGCCTATTAGAAAAGAGTATTTCATCATATTCAACATTTGATTTCTATGAGGGACCTCTAAGTAGCTCCTTGAGCCTCAGTAGCAGCGACCAGCATTTCTGGCAAACAAAAAAGGATTAATAAGAGAGAAAAGAATTGCCAGAGAGGAGGGCACAAGGCAGGACATCAAATGTATGCCAAATGGTCAATAAGTAACAAGAAGCCAACACTTCTGGGCTGACAGATGCCTCAAGCCAGATATTAGCTTTGGACATAAAATATTAGTAAAATAAAATGGAACAAGAAATATTAGATTCAGGGTTAGCAAACAAGACCTTGACTCCACCAGCATGAGTAGATTGCAAATAAAACTGCACAGTGGCCACAGAACCGAGAGTATGATACACCCGTAGCCAGATAAACCAACCATCAATGACCAAAAGGATTTTTTTTTTAGAAGGCACTTAGTCTCAGGTCTTTAGTGTCATTCTTAGCCAAGCATGATGGAGTCTGGTACAGAATCAGATGGGTAAGCCATAACAACCTGGCAGAAAACACATACAAGAAAATAAACCTCACAAAGACAAAGGGACTTCGGCCACCCAAACTGTCACCCAGACAGGAAGGCATGTAGGGAAAGCACCTTGGCAAAGCAAATACCAAATTCAATGGATCACAAAATATCTGTTATATGACCAAAGTGCCCCTTTGGCTATAGTACAAAGCACCTGAAACACACAGGAAGAGGGTCAGCAAACAAGGCAGGTCTTTAATTAACATGTGCAAACAAACTGTAAATACCTTTTCCCCTTTTAATCACATGAAGTTCCCAGAAATATGGTAACTAGAAGGAAATGCTTTTATAGAAGTAGCAGCCTTCGGCACATGTATGGGGTATAAGGAAACACAAGTTAACACACACCAGGAGGCAACCATGGCCGGGGTCCAAGCAAAATGGAAAGCTAGCATACAATGTGTGGGTGGCATAATCCAAATCAAGAAGCAGAAATAAAAATCTCCCAATGGAAAGGGAATTATCAGGAGGGAAAGTGCTAATCCATTACAACTACAGCACTTAGAAGGGATCAAGATAAGGATTTGGGATGGGACAGCAAAATTCCCGAACGCCCGACCACTTGGTCGGTCAGGAATTGAACACGTACCTGCATGAAGCGAGACCATCGCTCTACTGTCCCTCCCAAGTTATTCTCTGGGAGCCACTGGGGCTCCATCATGAAAGGGATTTTAAAGTATTCAAAATAACACCTGTACATTTGTACAGTGTGGTACTGTCTACTCTCTATTCCTTCGATGTGCTGAACATCCTCACACTTAATGTATTTATGTGTATGCTACCGACTAAAATGTACAAAATGAGGAGCTCAAGCTGAAATACAAGCAATTTGATTTGTACATTTTTCTTGGACTAATAAGCATCATAACTGAAAGATTAGGCGAGTCAACAAAGATACGTTCATTTACATTTAGGCAAAAGCTTACAATTTAAAGTTGTCAGATCTGGATCACAAGAAAAGGCTTCACAGTGAACCACCAAATCATCCACATCAGTATCTTATCCCTTATCTGACAACTACACTTGAAATACAAAAGCCTTTTCAAAGTAATGTGTAATGTAACTGAACATTTAGTTAACATGCTTACCCTGCCTCGGTGAGAGCATTACATGTGGCACTACTGCGGCTGTAATCTTGCTCGCATCTTTCGAGTGAAACCTGTAATACAATAAACATTACAATCTTACTTGTATGCCTAGATTTACATACAAAAATCTAATTATAAAGAACAGAACTATACTGTATTTAGAAAGAGGACAAAATTCCAAATGAATAGGAAGTAAAAATAAAATATACAATATCCACATCATAATTACAGCATATTCAATTCTCTCACAACTGCTTTAAACTAACGCCATGACTATCACGATGATCACAAGTAACAAACTCACACTTCTGGAACATGTTAACAAAAACAAAACAAAAAATATTTGTATTATATCTGACCTCAGAGCAACTGTAATTTATACTGTATAGTTTTGGAAATACAGTACCAATTAAAAATGGGAAGATACACTTAACTCATCAATCTTTACTGATCACTAATATTTAATTTAAATTCCTAAGCTCCGGAGATGGTGAGCAGTGGCGGCTCTTCCATGGGAGCTGCAGTCCTCCCACACACTCACTGCCAGGTGTATGACTCCATCAACCTCACACTACAATAATTATAATTACCGGTAATTCATTGTGTTGGGGGCCAGGAAGCCAGTGTATTCATACATGTTAAGCTGATATCGAGGTTCCCCCCAAGGCCGAATTACTGACCCCGCCCAGGATGCAACCCCACAACAAGTAACTCCTGAGTACCTACTACTGTAAAGGGTCCCGGTAGCACAGTTCGTTCTCAATGAACAATTGAGAACTTTGGGTTTGAATCCAGGGCGGGACAGAAATGGTTGGGCATTTTTCCCTTTCACCTAATGCCTCTGTTCACCTAGCAGAGAGTAAGTACTCAGGAGTTTGTCAGCTTGTTATGGGATTGCATCCTGGGCAGGGTTAGTAATTCGGCCTTGGGGGGAAACCTCGATAAAAGCCAAAAAGTGTATGAATACACCCTGGCTTCCTGTCCCCCGACAATGAATTATTATTACTGCTACGTGAACAGACACTTTAGGTGAAAGGAAATGTGCCAACCATATCTGTCCATCCTGGGATAAGCAAGTAACAAATGTCATAACAAAAAGTCTTTATATGATATTTTCAATATATTTACAATTGATTTTTTTAAATTTCCATGAAAATGAGACAAATTGAGGTTTCATGCTCTACAATACTGGTGGGCCACTGGTGGGCTACTGGTGGTGAGCCTAGTTTGAAACTGTATTTCAACTCATTAACCCAAAAATATGAGTTCAGAGAAGTGAACCATTTTCAGAGTGCACTTTGAACTGTAACAACTACATTTGAAAAAAAGTAGCAGCTGTCTAAACATTTCAGGAATTTCACGAACTGCACATGTCATCTGCACATATTTTCCAGGAATTCCATGTTCTACAAATGACAGTTCCCATCATCCATTTAATGAGCATCCCTGCTCTAAACCAAGTCAGGTTGAAAGGGGATATAAGGTCGTTTGACCACAGCATCAACGCAGTCTCAACAGAGCTCAGCTAGAAGCAACACCTCTGATCAAGTGGTATTCTCATAATACAGTAGTCGGCAGAAACAGCACCTCTTACCAGCCTCAATCCCACCAACTGTGACTCGACTCTTACTGTCACTGGCACTCAACAGCTGAGCCTTAGGGCTCTCGTAGTTACAACACTATCGGAATCTGGAATCTCGAGATGATTTTGAGGCACAACGTTCCCACGGCCCGGTCCTCAAACAGGACTCCTGGTTGCTGGACTGGTCAACCAGGCTGTTGCGTATCATACAACAACCATCGCTACAACCATTTACAACAAATACACATCTAATTACCATATTGTGTGTTTATTGTCCCAAACTTTCACTACACTAGTAACCCATAATGTTACAGATCCACTAGAAGTGAGGAAAGCCATTTTAGTGAACATCATATGTGAATTATACTTATTTCATTCATAATGAGAACTATTATGTGGAATTGATTTAGACATTAATTTTGAGGACAGATTGCAGATAAAGAAATTTACAACTATTGCTCATCTGCAACTAAATTATAAGGATTTTGTTAGCCAGTTATACAATGCCATTCACACTTTGGCTCAGCTCTCAACTCAATATCTTAAACTCTTCACAGCTTAACTCAGCATGGCATATCAAAATAGTACACTCGTGCACTGTAACAGCAAATCAATACATAGCAAAGCCATAGGACAGAGGAAGTTGTTGACCAGACCACACACTAGAAGGTGAAGGGACGACGACGTTTCGGTCCGTCCTGGACCATTCTCAAGTCGATTGTGATGAAGTAGAGACAGGCAATAAATAGGCAAGAGAGAGCTAAGGAGCAAAGTAAGGTGTAGGGGATAGTAGTAATAATAAGAACTGCAGAGGGCCTATTGGCCCATACGAGGCAGCTCCTATTATAACCACCGAATGAGGAGATAGTAATAGGAATAAGAGGACCAAAACATCGTCGTCCCTTCACCTTCTAGTGTGTGGTCTGGTAACATACTTCAGCCATGTTATTGTGACTCATCGCCTGCACAGAGGAAGTTGTGCCCCCACAACGCATGGAACATGACTTGAACACACTGGTGTCCTAGCCTGCTGGATCAAGTAGTACTCTTCCTAGCAATGAAACTGAAGTTAGGATGGCAATGAACAAGCAAGACAAATGAACAAAAGCACCAATTTTGTAAGGGATTTCACTAGGACAGTATAACCATATATATAATGGTAAATATTACACACACCTTTTTTTCAATACTAATGCACAACATTCTTATGGTGACACAATGTTTGGTGCCCACACATCTGACTCCTGACCACAAACACAGGCATCACCGACTCCAATGTTTAGCAGCTTGTTCCATGGTCGACGACCGGGCCGGGGAGACGCTAAGTCCCGGAAGCACCTTAAGGTATGGGCTAGTACCACCTTCACTACAGTACCAAGTACTGTTAACACCACAATGCCTAGTGCTACCGATATTTCCACCACAGCACCTAGGCTTATTGCTAGCTCCACCGCAGCACTTAGGTCTAGTGCCAGCTTCACCACAGCACCTAGGCTTTGTGCCAGTTCCACTAAAGCTTCTAGGCCTAGTGCCAACTCCAGCACAACACCTAGGTCTAGTGCCAGCTCCACCACATTACCAAGGCTTAGTGCCAGCTCCACCACAGCACTTGGGCCTACTGCCAGCTCCACCACAGCACTTGGGCCTAATGCCAGCTCCACCACAGCACTTGGGCCTACTGCCAGCTCCACCACAGCACTTGGGCCTACTGCCAGCTCCACCACAGCACCAAGACTTAGTGCCAGCTGTACCACAGCACAGAGGCCTAGTGGCAGGTCCAGGCAAATGCCTAAGCCTAGTGTGGTGAGGAGGAGAGCGTGGAGGGCGCCAGGAGCCACTCACCAGAGACCAGAGCCACAATAATGAAGTATCCCGGAGCGGTTGTTGGTAGTGTGGGCCGAGGTGCTCCTCCACCCCTACACTGGTGTCCTCAGCACACTGGTGAGTGTTGGTGTGGTGTCGGGGGGGGACAAGGGTGTGGCGGGGGGCACCAGGGAGGGCGTCACGCCAGTATGGGAGCAGCCAAGAGCCGCCAGTAATCACAGGGGATAATTGTGATGTTCACAGCCTGGCCTCCATCACACTCAACTGAGAAACTAAACTCGCTACGTTACTCTCACCTCCATCTTTACTCTTAGTTTCACGTCTCCCAAATAAATTACATCATCTTCATAAAAATTTCCACCAATGTGTTCAATTAAATGAAAATTTATATTGGGAGGGTGTAAAAAATATAGTTTTCACTGTGTATGGTTTCTTGTGGTTGTCCACTGCATCCGAAGGAGTTGTCCGAAATAACATGAAAAGGTCAATTGCAATTTCTTTTAGATTATAAAATACAGTACTAGTATTGTGTATACTCCAAACAAGTGGTGTATTAATTATCTGCATCCGTGTGGATGAGACTAACGATGCGCAAAGCGGTTAAGGTTGTGGGAGGTAATAAGAGTTGGGCAGGGATACGGACGCGGGGTCGTGGCTTGGCACACGGGCATGAAACAGAAGGTGGGCAGTGAGGTCCATTGTCCGGGTGTTGTGGGGGTGTCCTTCGCCCCCCACACCTCCCCACACACTCCCCACACATACCCACCCACGCACACACACAAGCCATGAATGGCGGTGCAGTGAATGGTAGGTGTAGGTATGGTGGCCGCGGCTCACCACGTCCGCGTCTTCTGAGCTATTTGGTAACATTTTTTGTCAGACATTGATAGTGGGAGATGTGTTGTGTGGGAGGGGAGTCTACCGTGGGTGGCCACACTACCCAGCTCACGTGTGTATGTTACTGTGGGACGCGGGAGGTCAGCAGGGCACGAGGCCACCCAGTGGAATGCGAACAATGTTGGCGGAAAGTTGAGGGAGATGGGAGGCCAGTGGCACGGGTTATGGACCTCTTGTACACTCTCCCACCTCCCACTCTCCCACCACCCTCACCTATCATCTCCCATCACCTCCCGCCCTCCCGCTCCCATTATCATTCTCTCCCACATCACCTCCCGCTCTCCCAATACTATCTCCCTCCAACTCCCACTCATTCCCTCCCGTTCCCACTTTCAGCCCCTCCCACACTCCCGTTACGGGTTATTCATGCCCGTGCCACCTTTTGGGAGGATTAATCTTTATCAATCAATCAATCCCCACACTCCCATCACTGTCACTTCCCATTCTCCCAACACCGTCATCTTTTTCCTCACGCTTTTCCATCACCTCCCGCTCTCCCTCTCGTGTATATGGTATCCCACTCGGCCACCACCATCTCCCACTTTCCAGTAGTGGACCTCGTACAAATCCTGTGGGCAGTTCATGGACCTGTAACGTACGATTATATTACGTTATTTGATAGATTAGATACACAGTTTAGTGGTTTTTATATTTATTTAGTAGTCTTGGTTACAGCAGTCGGTTGTTGGCAGTGTCGTAAAAATTAAGACGAAGCCTGGAACAGAGTACTGTAGAGAGCAGAGTGAGTCCAGGGTAGAGAGCTGGGATGCGGGATGAGAGTCGTAGAGCTTGGCGCTCTGAATATGGGCCGAGTTGAGGAGCTCGATGTGGCCAGAGTCTGGCTGCCTGCTCTGTGTCGAGGCTAAATAGTCTCTTGGAGTCGGTAGGAACTGGACACGCTGAATGCTACATTGTTGTTGGAGAGGTTGTAGATGTGAAGTATCTCTCAAACGTCTGTAATGAACCACTCTTGAAAATAGACTGATCATTATTGATTGATGAAGATTAAGCCGCCCAAGAGGTGGCACGGGCATGAATAGCCCGTAAGTGGTGGTTTCTTTTTGGGCGGGAGTGAATGTATACTGTGTGCTGACTGAGATCGCATTTAAATCGTCAGGCTGCTATCGCGGGGGTGGATACTGCTTGGTAGTATTTATGAGGGTGTCCAGCTGCTGGACACCTTTTTTGATCAGCTAAAGTGGCAATGTTGATGGCTTCAGGGTGGTTACTGCAAGATTCAGGAACTCTTAAAACTCTTCTAAGGTCGTTGGTTGCTTTACTATTCCAGGAGATAGTAAAATAGTGGTTTTTCAGTAAAATTGTGGGTTTTCTATGATTGTTTGGCAGAAGATGCATTCCCTCTGTCTGGGTTCTCCAATTTCCCATTTGCATCTGTAACCTAGACGTAGTCTATATAACCGAACTGCTATTTTCCCTGTGGATTCCTTTTGGAATCCTGACCTCAAAAGCTTCATTGAAGGTTGTAACAGAACCCATGAGCACCACACCAGAAACAAATACAGTTTTGATATTCCAAGAGTACGACTTAATCAAACTAGAAATGCTCTACAAATCAAGGGACCCAGAATGTGGAATGACCTTCCCAACCATGTTAAAGACTGTACCTCTCTCAACCAGTTTAAGATAAAAACGAAGCACTACCTAATAAATTCCCTGTAACCTACCTTACCCCTCTATTGTCAACCCATGTCTGTTTTTTTAAACAACGCTGTTTGTCGACCTAATTGTATTTGTGCTGCTTTTTCAGCCATGTTCCCCCCCTTTTTTATCTTTATTTTTATTTGTTCTCAACACATTTTATTCTTTATACTCAATTAGTATTAAGTTTGTCATTAATGTTTTTCCTGCCTGAAACGTTTTGCGTAATAGTGGCTTTAGGCATTGTATGTACTAGCTCTATCTATATATCGATCAATTTTTGTAAAATCTCTTGTATGTATGTACATTACCTGAATAAACATTTATTATTATTATTATTATTATAATGGGATTCCAACATGGGATGGGATCCTGTTTAGGGTTAAGTTAAGCCTTGCCTTTAGCTACTGATCCAAGATACAAAATGGTGATCATTATTTCAACGTTGTCTTTCCTCTTTTTTTCCTAATATTTGAAGTGCAGCTTTTGAGTGTATGATTGTATTTTTAAGTGTTTTGTGCAATCACACATGCGAATGCCTGTTGTATGGCAAGCAGCTCAGTTTGAGTTGATGATACTTGTCATCCACGTCTCCAATATGCCTGTTTACTGTCCGTGCAAAGAGCAGCACCAGCTCACTCTCATTCATGTGTCCACCGATCCGTCTGTGAAGATGTGGGTGACTCGTGCTACTGCAATGCTGCTCATTTGCTTTTTTATGATGCGCCTTAGGATTGTTGAATCATAGGCAGCCTATTTTCATTGGAAGACCTTCTGTTACTATTCTGAAGGTAGGCTCCTCCCACTGTGGGGAACAGTGTAGTTTGGGTGTGGATGATCACCTCCTCTATCAAGAATCATGCTTTTTAATTGTAGTCTGTTTAGGACTTTTCCCGCTCTGGTAGCCCAAGAGTTTGTTATTTTGGCCAAGTCCAACCACCAAGGCCTATCGTACTGGGACTGGATCAGGGGAAACAAATATCTACTGATAATCGTAGCTGTTCTTTGAGGTATTCTTTCTTGAAGAGAGGGCAAACCCGTTTCCATTCAAGCCTGCATAGGGGCTCCCAGGGCAGCTCTCATAGCATTGTTTTGGGCGACTTCAAGCTTTTTCCACTGTTGGTGTGTTAGGCTTGTGAGTGCAGGTACGGCATAATCAATCACTGATCTGACTGCCTGTAGATAGTATGTGCGAGTGACTTGCAGATTGGCTCCTCCAAAGAGGGAGGTTATATAGCGACCTGAGGATTGCCGTAGGGCCGCAGTTCTCTCTCTTCAGTAAGTGACCTCAACATTAAAATTTATGCGTTTGTCCGGGATTATTCCTAGATACTGATAAAGTGTTCACCCATTCAATTGGTTGACTCCTGTACGTTAAGTTGGTTGTTGGGCTTCACTATTTTTATGGGCATGGATTTTGTCTTGGTGGGATCGAGTTTGATACCAATCTGCTTTGCCTCTTAACTGATGCAGTCTAAGCATTTGGGTGAAAAGCGCACTGCATCCCTTCCTTTTATGATGACAAAGTCGTCCGCTTATTTTAGCAGCCTGCAGTGTTGAGTTTCTGCCTCTTCTTTCCATTAAACAGTTGACGAGGGGACTGAGAATGCTCCCCCTGCGGTGTATCATTTTCAAGTCTTTTGTATTCAGAACTGCCGTGAAGTTTCATTCTTGCTTCTCTGTTTATGAGACAGTTTTTGGTCCAGGAGAGCAGGTTGCCTGTGACCTCTTTGTTGATGAGGCAGCAGAGAATAGCTGGGGCGCTAGCCAGTTCAAAGACTTTCTTGAGGTCCAGGAATATCAGTAGTCCTCGTCTGTCATTCAGATGGGCTAACAGAGTTGTAATACACTGTGCCAACCACTATTCTATAGGCATACATATCCTGGTGCAGTTTAGGCATTTTCCACTCAAGTCTGTTGAGTACCATTCTGTCAGCCGTCTTGACTGCACAGCTTTGGAGAGAGATGGGCCTTGGATACCCTGGATCTTTGGGTTTTGGGATCCGTACTGTCTGCCCTATTCCAAGCTGCAGGAAGATTATTCGATTGATTAATTGATGAAGATTAAACTATCCTAGAGGTGGCATAGGCATGAATAGCCCGTAAGTGGTAGATTGTTTTTGGAATAAATGTGATTTTTTGGTGGTGAAAAGATTATTCGATTGATTGATGAAGATCCAAGAGGTGGCACGGGCCCGTTAAATGATTATTCGATTGATAAAGATAAAGGCACCCAAGAGGTGGCACGGGCATGATTAATAGCCCGTAAAATGATTATTCGCTAACCGATTGTTTATATAATCGGTCCACACCCCACCTCATCGTCCTCCAATAGGTTGGAACGAATGTTAACTAATTAAGGAAGAGGTATGAGTTTTGTCATTAGTAAATTAAGTAGAATTAACGAACTCATTAAGTTAATGAGAGTTTGGAGTGAGTATATTATTGACAAAATACTCGTTACAGACCCCATATCTATTCCATGGGCGGTAGCGGCCTCATATCCATTCCATGGACGGTATCGACCTCATATCCATTCCATGGACGGTATCGACCTCATATCCATTCCATGGACGGTATCGACCTCATATCCATTCCATGGACGGTATCGACCTCATACCCATTCCATGGACGGTATCGACCTCATATCCATTCCATGGACGGTATCGACCTCATATCCATTCCATGGGCGATAGCAACCTCATATCCATTCCATGGGCGGTAGCAACCTCATACCCATTCCATGGGCGGTAGCAACCTCATATCCATTCCATGGGCGGTAGCAACCTCATATCCATTCCATGGGCGGTAGCAACCTCATACCCATTCCATGGGCGGTAGCAACCTCATATCCATTCCATGGGCAGTAGCAACCTCATATCCATTCCATGGGCGGTATAGCAACCTCATACCCCTTCCATGGGCGGTATAGCAACCTCATACCCATTCCATGGACAGTAGCAACCTCATATCCATTCCATGGGCGGTAGCAACCTCATACCCATTCCATGGGCGGTAGCAACCTCATACCCATTCCATGGACAGTAGCAACCTCATACCCATTCCATGGGCGGTATAGCAACCTCATACCCATTCCATGGACAGTAGCAATCTAATGCCCAAAGTTTAAAGAGCACTGAACTCCCGAAATATATTAAGCCGAGTCAGAGGGGAAAGGGAGACCATAAGGAGCAAGAGCGGCTGGGAGGGCCAAGGAGAATAGGGAAGCTGGGAGATCGAGGAAAGTTATGGGGCTGGGGGAGCAAGAGATGCGTGGGAGCCATTGAGAAGGGAGGGAGATGGTGTGGAAGGGGACCCATGAAGGGGGAGAGGAAGGGGGGGGGGGCTGATGGGGAGGAATCAGGTGGCTGGGTGCTGCTCCCCCCACCCAACCACCAGGTGTAAACAAGCCGCTGTCCTAGCTGCCTCGCCCCTCCTCACTCCAATGGCCCTGTAAACTGTTCCCTGTGTGAGTGTTGTCTCTTGTCGATTCTCTGTCCATTGTTCGAGCCATAACGTGCACCTTATGTCTAGTTACTGTATGGGGTTTGTGTTGGCTTAACATGTAAGTGACTCATGCCGGGTGACGGAGCAACGCACGCAGGTGTCTGGTCCACCATCATGTTCACTGTGAATCATAGTGGACCGTGTTCACTGTCAGCCACAGTGGACCATGTTCACTGTCAGCCACAGTGGACCATGTTCACTGTCATCCACAGTGGACCATGTTCACTGTCAGCCACAGTGGACCATGTTCACTGTCAGCTACGGTGGACCGTGTTCACTGTCAGCTACGGTAGACCGTGTTCACTGTCAGCCACAGTGGACCGTGTTCACTGTCAGCCACAGTGGACCGTGTTCACTGTCAGCCACAGTGGACCGTGTTCACTGTCAGCCACAGTGGACCGTGTTCACTGTCAGCCACAATGGACCATGTTCACTGTCAGCCACAGTGGACCGTGTTCACTGTCAGCCACAGTGGACCGTGTTCACTGTCACCCACAGTGGACCATGTTCACTGTGGACCTTGGTAGACCATGTTCAATCTGAACCATGACAGACTGTGGTCACTGTGAACAATGACGGGCCGTGTTCACTATGAATCATGACAGGCCGTGTTCACTGTGAACCATTATGAACCGTGTTCACTGTCACGAACATGATGGACCATGTTCACTGTGAACCATGATGGACCATGTTCACTGTGAACCATGATGGACCATGTTCACTTTGAACCATGATGGACCATGTTCACTGTGAACCATGATGGACCATGTTCACTGTGAACCATGATGGACCATGTTCACTGTGAACCATGATGGACCATGTTCACTGTGAATCATGATGGACCATGTTCACTGTGAACCATGGTGGACCATGTTCACTGTGAACCATGGTGGACCATGTTCACTGAACCATGGTGGACCATGTTCACTGTGAACCATGGTGGACCATGTTCACTGTGAACCATGGTGGACCGTGTTCACTGTGAACCATGGTGGACCATGTTCACTGTGAACCTTGGTGGACCATGTTCACTGTGAACCATGGTGGACCATGTTCACTGTGAACCATGGTGGACCATGTTCACTGTGAACCATGGTGGACCATGTTCACTGTGAACCATGGTGGACCATGTTCACTGTGAACCATGGTGGACCATGTTCACTGTGAACCATGGTGGACCATGTTCACTGTGAACCATGGTGGACCATGTTCACTGTGAACCATGGTGGACCATGTTCACTGTGAACCATGGTGGACCATGTTCACTGTGAACCATGGTGGACCATGGTCTGACCATAGTGGACCCTGTTCACTCACTGTTGACCATAGTGGACCCTGTTCACTCACTGTTGACCATAGTGGACCCTGTTCACTCACTGTTGACCATAGTGGACCCTGTTCACTCACTGTTGACCATAGTGGACCCTGTTCACTCACTGTTGACCATAGTGGACCCTGTTCACTCACTGTTGACCATAGAGGACCATGTTCACTTACTATGAATTATGGTGTACAATGGTCACAGGATGCTACTGGTAACACAGTCGCCCCTTTGCCTCACGAGCGATTTGTCTAGGTTTGAGTCCTGGGCAGGGAGTCCTGATGCCCTGAATCCTGGTCTGGGCATCGGTCCTTAATTCTTCGCCTCTTTTTGCCCAGCAGTAATTGGGTACCTAGTTGTTAACTGAGTGGCGGGTCGTGTTCCCGGTAAAAACTAGCGGGTAAACCATGAGCTATGGGAGGGAAAGCTCTTAGCCTTTTTAACAGGAATCAGAAATCATCTGTTCCTTTACTCATCTGTGTAACAACAACAAATGTGCTGTTGAGTCTACTGAAAACTAGCTACTGTTGCTGCTACTTTAGTTTATGTATTTTATACTGTACCTGTACTGCATTTTTTAACTTTGCTATTGTTATTTATTTGGCTGATTTCAATATACAGTACAGTATAATATACAGTTCTGTATAATGCTTGTTTGTTAATTAACTACTAATAACATCTATACAATGTTTAGATTAACTTGAAACTATGGTGCAATAAGGTTTATATTAACCAAAAAAAGTTGTTATTCCAGTTCCGTGTGCTGTTTGTCTTTGTGGTGGTTGTGTTATTGCTGACAGTTCTTCAGCTGTGCCTGTGTGTGTGGCTGATCCATGTGAGTAGTTTAGAAACCTTGACTAAGGTACATAGCACAAATGCCTTCTACAACACTGTTCACATCACTGCTATTTCAGTACAGCCGTTCACTTTCCATTATCGCTGCTTGCACATTTTGACTACGTGTACATTTTGACTGCTTGCACATTTTGATTGCTTGCACATTTTGACTGCTTGCACATTTTGACTGCCTACATTTGTTGACTGCCTGCATATGTTGACTGCTGAGTCTGTTCCTACCCCCAACAAACTCCATAGATGTTATTGATGTAATTCTCTCACTTAAAACTAAATCAGGTAGCTTTTCTAAGATTTCAACTCTAATTTATAAAAAATGCCTCAATGTGTTATAGCTCCAGCCATTTTACTGCAATAAATAACTTGAACTCCGAGCCTTCCTTGATAATTATAAAAAGACTCGAGTAATCCCTGTCCATAAAGGTGGTGATTTCACAGAAGTCAACAATTTTAGAGCAACATCAGTCTTGCCCATCTTCTCCAAAATATTTGAAAAACTAACGTACAAACAGCTTTACTCCAATCTAGCTCAACATAACACAGTATACAGTACAGTACTGTACTTAGTTTTTGCTAATATTGCTTCACATCTCAAACAGCATCAGTAATTTCATGCTTGGATTAATACATGCAGATCTTTACAAAAATAAGTCCTTCATAGCTATTTGTTGACCTGCAGAAGGCTTTTGACACAGTTAACCACAATAACCTTAAATTGCACCGCTCTGGAATCAGGACAATCATGGGGAATCACTTCACACACTTTCAAGTGTACTCTATATCTGTAGAACTGAACTGCAATACTACTACTGACCTTAGATGCTTGTTAGAGGGCTGTAACTGAAACCATGGGCAACACAAACAAATATATATTTGATATTCTTAGAGTGCAACTGAACCAAAGCAGAAATGCAATGCAAATCAAGGATCCCAAATTGTGGAATGACCTTCCAAATGTGATTAAAAGCTGTACTTCTCCCAAGCAGTTTAAAGAAGAAAGTAAGAAATATCTAATTAACATTATGTAATAAATTTCACTTACATTTGATGGATGGTAGGGCAATGGCTTCGATTCTTGCAGGTCTTCATTCAATCCCCAACTGACCAAGTGGTTGGGCACCATTTCTTTCCTTTGTCCTATTCTAAATCCTTGTCATCATATACCTTCCAAGTGCCATATAGTCATAATGGCTTAGCCCTTTCTTTTGATAATTACCTTACCTGTCTCATCTAAAATAAGCCAATTTTATGTTTTGCTGTTACATTACAGTATTTGTAAATACTGTATTAAACACAGTACCACAGTACTGTAAATCTGTACTACAGTATTACTAAAATTACAGATTCTGTAATAAATTAATCTATGCCTTTCATCATTATATATCACTATATATACATAGTAATACAATATTTCTCAATCCATACTTTTTCCACAATTATCTTTGCATACTATATTCAAATTAGAACATATTTAGACTGGATGATATAACCATGTTATAACAAATATACATAAAAATTAGTACAGCATTATACCATATAGATATATGGCTAAATGATTTACATTTTTTCTATTTGCTTGGTGCTATTACTTCTTGCTGGCTTCCAGGACTGATGCAACTGAGTCGGTCTGCTGTATACACCATGTTGCAGACGCATGCAGAGAAAGACCGCATCATCTCCTCCCTCCCACCACCCTTCATCCGACTGGTATGGTTGTCCCGCACGTGTTGTCATACATATGTAACGTGTATGACATGTTGCGATTCTGTACAGTCCCTGTAAATTATTACAAATTTATCAAAGATGTTAGGTTTAATTATGAATCTCAGTACTCCTTCTCCTATAAATGTAGTTGCAATTTTAAATTCAATTGATAAGTAGCTGTGGTACTGTGCTGTAACTGGATAGGGATGGTAGATTTTTGGTCAGGCTTGATTGTACATGTCACCAGTCTATTGGCACACCTGATACTTATCTTAAGCAACTGGTGAGCGTGTTCTTCATGTGAAGTCAGTCATATTTATGGTGGCTCAAATCTCGAGAAAATATGCTTGATCCTTTGATGCTACTGAATACTAAAAGGGCGTCCGACAGCTGAGTGGACAGCACTTCGGATTCGTAGTCCCCGGTGGAGGCAGAGACAAATGGGCAAAATGTTTCTTTCACCCTGATGCCCCTGTTACCTAGCAGTAAATAGGTACCTGGGAGTTAGACAGCTGCTATGCGCTGCTTCCTGGGGGTGTGTAACAAATAGAAGGCCTGGTTGAGGACCAGGCCGCGGGGACGCTAAGCCCCGAAATCATCTTAAGATAACCTCAAGATGGTTTATATTACTGCCTTTTACACAGGCTTATCAGGCTTATTTGAGTAGTAAATTTAGCTGTAGGATATTTGTGTAAGAAACTAAATGTTTCTTACATTTAGTTTCTTTGTGAACTTAATATTAAATATTAACTTTATGTGAACATAAGATTAAATCAGTTTATGATTTTCTATGTTGACTGATGGATATATTCCAGGCGTCTCCTCACACAAGCGACGACTTTAACGAGGCTGTTAAAAATGCAGCAAACAGCAACCGTACACTACAGGCTGGACTCAAAATATCCAAAATGATTGTACTCGGAGACATGGCAACAGGAAAAACTTGCTTGGTAAATAGGTAAATAGCTCTTTTTACATTATTAATGGCCAGGTCCTGTGGAAACACAAGGGAAAATATACTATTATTTTCAGAGTATTTAACCCTTTTTTTGTATTAGTCTGGTAATAATCACTGCTAAGTATTCACCTAGTTGTGTTTGTGGGGGTTGAGTTTTGCTCTTTTGGCCCGCCTCTCAACTGAGTGTACCACTGTTGAGGGTCACTGCTGAGAGTGCCACACATGAGGTCACTGAGTGCATAATAAAGAAAGAAATTGAAAAAACTAGACAAAAAAAGGGGACATAAATCTTGCTTAACCTTGTACTTCCCTTGAAAAGCCACATTCAAATCTATTTTCCTCATTCCGTCATTTATTTGAGCTTTGCTTCTTTCCTTCAACAGCAGTCAAATGTATTATCAAATTCACTAACAGTTCTAAATACTGTAGTTTCCTATTTATATATTTATTTTTAATTTATTGTTACAGATTGTGTCATCAGGTTTTTGATGCCAATTACAAAGCAACAATTGGAGTCGACTTTGAAGTTGAACGATTTGATGTTCTTGGTATTCCCTTTAATCTACAAATGTAAGTAAAACATATTTTTCATGTAAAGTGTTTGTAAAGACAGTATATCATAGTACAGTACAGACAGTACATCATAGTACAGTACAGTACACTTCATCATAGTACAGTACAGACAGTACACCAAAGTACAGTATAGACAGTATATCATAATACAGTACAAATAGTACATCATAGTATGGTACATCAAAGTACAGTACAGACAGTACATCATAGTACAGTATAGACAGTATATCATAGTACAGTATAGACAGTATATCATAGTATAGTACAAATAGTACATCATAGTACAGTACAGACAGTATATCATAGTACAGTACAGACAGTATATCATAGTACAGTACAGAAGTACATCATAGTACAGTACAGACAGTACATCATAGTACAGTACAGACAGTATATCATAGTACAGTACAGACAGTATATCATAGTACAGTACAGACAGTACATCATAGTACAGTACAGACAGTATATCATAATACAGTACAGAAGTACATCATAGTACAGTATCAAAAAGGCTCAAAGATTACATTTCTACCAACTGTAGTTTAGTGATAGGTAGATCTCAGCTATTAGTGTGTGGGCTGAAATATTTACGTACCAAAAAATCTCTTGTCAGGATTTGAAGCAATTTATTCTATATTTGAAATAATATACTGTAGATGATTAGATTTTTGCATCTTGGCAGTAAATGTATTATGGTACTATTGTATTATTAATACAAATATAATTGTATTATTAATACAATGATACTAATTTTGTTTTTTAATGAAGGCTTGTTTACATGTCTTCTCATTCAGCTAATAATGAATGAAAAGATTGATACTTGTGTGCGTATATACTTTGAGATGCTGTAATAAATGTATTAATTTTATCTTTTAACAGTTGGGACACAGCTGGCCAGGAACGGTTTAAATGTATAGCAGCGTCGTATTATCGTGGTGCTAACAGTAAGCTTTCTTGACACACTGTACTCGCATATTTAACACTAGTGTGCATCAGTATATAGCATTACCAACATGCACATAAACTCAGGCTGTTCAGTGTTCTCTTGTGCCTGCTGAAACCCCTGTCAAGATGCCCCACACCTGTAAGTATGGGCAGCTAGGCTAGATGCCCCACACCCAGCAGTGTGGGTAGGCAGCCTGGATGCTCCACACCCATATGTGTGGGTAGCCTGGCTGGATGCCATAGACACAAGTGTGGGCTGCCAGGCTGGATGCCCTCACACCCAGCAGTGTGGGTAGGCAGGCTAAGAAAATTATTACTGTTCTTTGGGTATTCAGAAAGTGTTGCTTATCAGATCATTTTCTAGTTTTAGACAAGTTGTAGGGTGATGTGGGCAAGAAGTAAAGTGGAAGAAAGTGAGAACACTGTTAGGAACAGTGTTTAGGACCAGTATGTAGCAGCAGTGTTAGGAACAGGGGTAGGAACAGTGTTAAATAGCAGTGTTAGAAATAGTGTGTAACCCTTGTACAGTACTGCACCAGCCGACATATTAAGGGTTATGCTGGTGCACCAAGCGATATGTGATGATGTGAGTACTGTATATCATTAAAATCAAAACTCCCATGCATACAAGGGGACACACATTTGCTTCCCCAGGCCTCCAGTAACCATCCCCTATCCTGAAAAAAACATGCCGAGTCCTTCACTTTTCTTCCATGGGTTTAGTAACGTGGCGTAGGGTACTAAGACCTAGGTAATGTTCCTATGGCTTTAGAAACGTGTAAGGCAGCCATACTATAAGCCACTGAAATTTTAATAACACAAGTAGTTGATTACCATTATATATTTCAGGCAAAATGCGTGCTATGTCCAGTTATAAAATTTAGGCTTATATATAGGGTTATATACTGTGTATGTATGTGTGTATATATATATATAATATATGAATAAATACATGGTGTGCATATATTTATACACGCATATCTGTATTTGTGTATATTTTCAAAGTTATACATAATGAACACCATCTTCGACACATAGATGCAACTTGTTAGAGAAAAAAAATAAAGTGAGAAACATTGAAAATAAATTGACAAAGTTATTCCCATGTGGCAACTCTCCTCCTTTTTACCAAAAAATGCAACTTCTGGACTCCAGGTCACTACAGCTATACAACAAGAGGTAGAGACTTTTTACTTGGAATTTTGTGCTTCCTGGTACTAATTAACAATACCAAAAGAAAAAAATACTGTTTTTGGAACAATTTATTTTTAGTGCAGCACAGGAATGTCATTTTAAAAGGTGCGCAGTGCAGGGGTTAAAGGCAGTGTTAGGAACATTTGGAACTGTTAGAAAAAGTGTTAAGGCCTCAGACCCCTTTACTTTGTTTACAGCTCTGTGTAAGGTAACACCTTTAACAAAAAAAATATCTAATTATAAATTTGAAATGAAGTTAATTAATGTGAAGTGAAATTAATGTATTCATGTTTTGTGTACAGCTGTGATGGTTGTGTTTGATGTGACAAACATTGTAACTCTGGCTCACACAGCCCAGTGGTTGGAGGAAGCACGCCAAGCTAACCTCAACTCGGATCCTCTAGTTTTCCTCGTGGGAACTAAACGTGATTTGATGGTATGCATTGAGTATAATCTCATCATTTAACATGCAGTGTTAAAAGCTTCTAGAGTTAAGAGTAGGTCAGGTTCCTGGGTGTTTAATTGAAATAGGACTCTGCTTGAGAATATAGATACTGTATTTGTCAATCATATCTAATACCTCACTATTAGATATGCACTGCTATAATATTAAATAAGGGCTATTGTCTTAACATTTTAATTTACTGACAGTGTCAAAGATTATGCCAGTACAGTGACTTTCATATTTATCTTCAACTTGTAGAAGAATGAAACGTAATTTGTTAATTTTCTAACCAGCACCTAGGTTCCATTGAGCATATTATATGTGGTTGCATATCCATTGAGCTGTAGCCATGGGGTCCATATTTTTCGTTCATATCACTAGGTTGGGATTTGTTAATGATTGTGGTTGCTTATCTCTGATACTTTGTACTTGTATTTCTCAAGCTAATTAGTGGATGAAGGATGGAAATACGCTTTAGTAACACACAATGTAAAACTAGAAAACCCTAGAGAAGGTTGTGCTTGAGTAACCTTACTGGATAGGAACTGCCAGTTTATTGATCTAGCATAATCAAGCAGTGTAATGACTGTATGCATGCTAAATATTTACAGAGCGAAGGAGCATACAACCAGATTGAGGCTCAAGCACGACGTGTTGCACAAGGCCTTGGAGCCGAGTACTGGGCTGTGTCGTCCAAAACTGGAGATAACGTGGAAGCTCTCTTTTTGCGTGTGGCAGCACTCACCTTCAATCGTGCCGTGCTTCAGGAAGTCCAGGGAGGTGACGGCCACAAGCACGCAGGAACTGTCAGTATGTATTAAGATGTTCATCATAATCATCATCTTCATAATCATTATCTTCACTGTCATCATCACTACCATCATTATCATCATCACCATTATCATCATCAACAACAAAAACAATGATGACATACCACATTTTTCACTTTTATGAAGTGTGGAGGCCTCAGCCCAAAGAAATAGGAGAGAAACATAAGAAAAGATGGATGTCCCCCAGCAAATAGTGGCTTTAGGGCTTTAGGTATTGTATGTACTAGCTCAATCTTTAAATCCAACATTATGTTTATAACTCATCTTCAATGTATGTATCTTTACCTGAATAAAATATCTAAATCTAGCAATTCATCCACAGTAGGAGAGAGACAAGAAAAGATTGGACATCACCAGCAAATCTAGCAAATCATCCACAGTAGATTTCCACTGGTTCATAAAGACTAAATACAGTACAGTATATACAGTAGTGTTTCCCATGAGTTGTAATATAAATATGTCAGGCATTTCACCCATTTCACAAACTTTTGTAAACAAATGATGCTACTTACCACAACAATTAACAAGTATTGCTACTTGTGTGATCAACACATTCAGTTCCCTTCTCACTCACCATGTGTGTGTGTCCATCATCTTGGCATTTCTCTTCTATTTGTAGATTCCCTTGAATATACTTTCTTCATTGCTCCATCATCCATTCGTTTAAAATTACCAAACCATCTTGGTACACATCTCGATCACAAATTTATCACCTATAGCACCACATATTTCTGTGCCACTTTAACTCTTGTCTTTTCTAACAGCACAAATATGCCCTAGGCACAGATAAGACTGTGAGCAAGATGTCCAGAATGCACTAAGTGCAGAGCCGGACCTCAATTTATTCAGCATTTCACCAGTGTAGCTTTTCAAGGAATATTTGAATGGATACACAGGGAATTTTACATAGTGCCAGCCAGCAGAGTGCTAGTGGAATAGGACACAGTAGGTTTTACATAGTGCTAGCCAGCAGAGTGCTAGTGGAATAGGACACAGTAGGTTTTACATAGTGCTAGCCAGCAGAGTGCTAGTGGAATAGGACACAGTAGGTTTTACATAGTGCTAGCCAGCAGAGTGCTAGTGGAATAGGACACAGTAGGTTTTACATAGTGCCAGCCAGCAGAGTGCTAGTGGAATAGGACACAGTAGGTTTTACATAGTGCCAGCCAGCCAGCAGAGCGCTAGTGGAATAGGACACAGTAGGTTTTACATAGTGCCAGCCAGCAGAGTGCTAGTGGAACAGAGCAACACATGGAACAAACAGTACCTGTTGTTAAACATCCCCAAAGCTAAAAACAGTTGAGCAAGTAAGTTGGCTAATATAGTGATGTCTCATTCATTGGATTTATTGGCTCAGGGCTCCAGTTTTTGCCATCTGATGACAGGCAGGGTATTTACCCCACATCAGGGATAGTGCCTTGTTTACGTTGGGTGCATAATTTCCTTCAAGCAATCGCTTGGTTTGTTACACCTATACATTCTGGTGTAAAGGGAGTCCCAACTCCCTTCTCCTCGTAGAGTGAGCCATATTCTGGTCCCAGCAACTGGTTGGTCACAGATGGGTCTTGGAGGTCTTGTGTGTTGGGCTAAGAATTTGTGGTATCAAATTCAGGGAGTCAAATTGAGTTGAATTGAGTCAAATTCAGGGAGCTACTGTGGGAAAAGTAGAAGAAAAGAGAAAATCCACCAGAAAAGAGCAATTCATTACATTAAATGCTTGATATTTTACATACTGTAAAGTATTTGTATTGTAAATAGTTGGAGAGGTAATTCTTTTACTATTTTTATATAAATCTTTCTGTTTTGGAGTATTGATTTGTCTAATTCTTCAGAAATAGGTGAGAAATTGGACAACATGTATGAAGCACGGAAGAAGTCCAAGTGTGGTGCCTGTGGAAAATAAGCCACGCGTTACATGTTACAAGAATACCTCAGTATTATTTTAAGGTCGATCTCAAAGAATATTTGACATTCATAATTGATGTATGAGTGTTTTAGCCATATTGTTAATGAATCATTGTCAATATGCTGTAACCTGAGAGATGCAGCTCATAAAGCAGTCATTAGTTATAAAACTCCGAAAGCTGATGTTGAAAGCTACGGCTTCCTTGGTGCTGTCGTTTAAATTGCACAATGAAATAAGCACAACGTTAATTATCTACCCGTCAGACACTACATGACACGCCATAATAAATATCTCGAGTAATTAACTGTAATATGCTTTAGTCTTGTGTAAGGGCTTCAACTCTAGCTGTTGAAGTGAAAGGGTTTCTGATCCGAGTGCTGCATGTCAATCACTCAATGTCATTCTAGTTTTAATACTATAATTACTTTTTAAAGGTGCTTTGTGTGTTTTGCTATGAATATAACATGATTACAGCCTTTGGGCTCATTTGTGCAGCCTCATGTGTATTTTGTGATAAGTGAAAGTAGTGTATAGTAAATTTAACACTGGCCATTTTTATCTTTAATGATTCATGACCAAACCTTTTGATAGTAATTGTAAGCATATCCACATTAATTCAAATATAAATTGTAGCTGTATTTCCATTATTACAAATAAATATATATATATATTTATATATACACATACACGTACATGATATACATCTGGTTTCAACTAGTATTGGATATTGATTTACAAATACCTATTTATGGTGCAGTCACTGATATTGTTGCCTTTTTTGTACAAATATAAACATGTAAAGAAAACCATGGCCCTCTATTCATGCATTTGTGATGCTGACAACTTAAGTGTTGTTTCTTTATTCTGTAAGTATTCATGCCTGATGTAAGGAATCACTGCTCAATAGAAAGTCTCAACACATTGTATTAAAATGAGAAAATTGCACAGTGGCGTGTGGGGAGTAGATTAGACATTAGTTATAGCATGTCATAGGATAGAGAATATAGATTAATAGTATATTTTCTAACACTCTTTCTGATTCACGAAAAAAAGATCTGAATTTTTGTGTTCATTTTATACATAAATACATACATAAGCCTTAACTATACTTCTGTTTGGCCATATTGAGTGATGAAGTTATTACCTGCAGTAATGTGTGTATGTGTGTGGGCTGGTGCCACAACCTTTGATACACTATTCATATCTTCAAACTTAACAAAGTATTTATATTTATATTAGTATTTATATTAGTGCCATAATTCCCTATAATTTATAATTCACTATAAAATATGCCCAAACCCTCCATAGACGTCACGTTGGCAAGTGTTGCATGTAGACATTGCGGCTGCAGACGTCACTTATTCACATGTGAATAATACACTGTACTGATGGTTCTATCATTGATAATATGCATTGAATTACAGCACAACAGTGATAGAACTCTGAGCAATGTATCAGTTAGGATGATATGGAATTATATTTTTAATAATGCTGATATTGTATATTTATAATGAACAGTTAGTGGACATGACTAACAAGATAATCTTATACAGTGGAACCTCGATTAACGAATTTAATCCGTACCGGCACCGAGCTCGTCATGTGAAATGCTCGTCTTTCAAAACGACTTTCAAATAAAAATAATCCGTTCCACCACCGAAAAACATCAATATGATATTCGATTTTGTAAATAATGGAGCAGCCTACCTGACGTACAGTGAACGAACCTTTATGACATTTTTCCTTTTTTCAAATTTGTTCATTTTTTTTTTTAGCAAAAGGTTCGTTCAGTGTATGTCAGGTAGGCTCATCTATGTTTCTTAAAAAAATATACATAAAAATGAAAAATAAAACAAAAATTGAACAAATTTGAAAAAACGAAAAATGTCATAAAGGTTCATTCAGTGTTTGTCAGGTAGGCTGCTCCATTATAACAATCTTTCTTGGTTTCAAATGTGTTCAATTTGTTTTGTACTTTTCATTTATTTATTAATAATGGAGCAGCCTACCTGGCATACACTGAATGAACCTTTATGACATTTTTCCTTTTTTCAATTATTTTAAAGAAACACTTTCCTGACATACACTGAACGAACCTTTTTGACATTTGTTCTTTTTTCACATTTTTTCATTTTTTTTTTGTTTATTCTACAAAAAACAAGTCAATGCTTTGACACGTCACAGCAGTCACCCCTTTACATCCCAGCATCATTAGCATCTTTAAAAAAAAAAAAAAAATTTATTTGCATCATTGGAGGTGTCTGAGAATGTGCGAGAAGCACCGGGAACGCACCATGTGGTTTTCTTGTTAATCAAATGAGCGCTCGCCAATCGAGATAAATTGTAGGCGATCAGCGCGCCCGTTATTCAAAATACTAGTAAATTGAGGCGCTCGTCACTCGAAGTTCCACTGTATTTGTTTTATTTTAAAATGTTCTGTTATGCATGTGGTTCTGCTTATAAGCCATAATACAGTACAATGAACAGTAATTGAGAAAATATTAATAGGGAAGAAACAGCAAATATTAATGGGAATGTTTAAAAATAAAAAGTTGTCAATACTGTATCAATAAATTTTTGTTGGATTTATAGAACATTTATTTTAAAAATATCTTCTTTTTTTTAATGTATTTATTTGACTACATAATATTGCACATAGACATCATCACATGTTGAAATGAATAGAATATTACTAGAGAATTAGTGATGATGGTGCTGACACGTTAACCAGGTGAGCATGGACTTAGGCGGCAAGTTCGTTCCATCTAGCCACACTATTCTATAGTTTGTGTAGGAGTATTATCAGGTTAGCTGGGGCCTAGATTAGGTTTTTGGTAAGGTAGGATTGTTGGTTTTGGGGGAACAAATTGCCATATAATCTCCTACCAATGAATACACACATAAAAAATGTAACATGCAGTATTGTATATTATGTTACAGTATCCTATTTAAAACAAAATTCTTGTCATTTCAACAATAGTACAGCATTTAACAGTTCATTAATGTGAAAACAAACACCTCACATAAATCTTAGATGTCTTATATTTGCAGGTTAAAGTGGAGGTTAATTGTTGGGTTTTGTCAGCATTGGTATGGTCAGTTTTCCTTTCAAACCTCCTTTTCTATGTACTGTAATTACCAAAGTGTAGTTACGGGATGAGAGCTATGCTCGTGGTGTCCAGACTTCCCGGTACTCTGTCATATAAGGCTTTGAAACCGCTGATAATTTTGGCATCCACCATCACTTCACTTCTGTTTCTCTTCTCATTTAGCTCTTGTTTTTCAATTCTGGAAGTCTATGCCCCTTTTTCCAGGTTATTGATGTACTTTTTGACATATGAGCACCATATAACCACTTCCTATTCTATGTTTGGTTTCTTGAAGGTTGTGAACAGTTTCTTTAATATTTTACCATCCATGTATTTAAAAGTGATTCAAAAGTTGGAAAGTGTAACATAGGCTCTTGCACAATGTTTATTACATGGTCTTCAGGTGACAGTTTTCTGTCCAAAAGCACCCCTAGATCTCTTTCACAATCAAGAGTTCTTTAAAGCATTTTCACAATTTGTAGGCTGGGCCTATTTTCTCCTTTTCCACATAGTATTTATTCACATTAAATTCTATCAGACACATGTTGCTCCATACACTTTTTTTGTCCAGGTCATCTTGAAGGGCATGGCAATCGTCGTAAGTTTCTTATCCTCCTAAGTAGCTTGACATCATCAGCAAACACGTGGGATTATGTACGTGTGCAATATTGTAATATGTAATTAAACAAATTAAATTATTAAGGTCTATGTCATATAGTTATATAAAAAGAAAGAAAAATATATTATGTACAGAAGTGTGTTTACCAGCAAACACTTCTTAAAACTGACTGATAATTTTCATGTTTTTCCCATAAAATTATGTTGTCTGTTTACTATATTAAACATTGGTATTGTACAGTATATTATTGTTTATATACATAACTATGTGCATCACACCATGTTTTAAAGGATATGCATATTTATGATAACTTTACTTGCCTGTCAGAGCGTTCAATTGCCAGTATTAACCGACACCTTTTCATACATTTTCCTCATAGGTCTAAACAGAGATGTTATTGAGCTTATCACTTAAGATTTAACACAATTGTCATTCTCAATGCTTGTGCTACCAGTACAGCTTATTATTTACATTTGACACTGCTGGTTTAATAATTCACTAGTGCCGTTTCTTACCACAGCTGCAATGTTCACGTACAATATTTGGCTGCAACGGGTCTGTAGAATATATTTGAAAATATTTTTAAAGAGCATAAGTGTCAGGAAGCAACAAGAGAGATTTGTAATATCAAATTTTCAGGCTGTTAATTATATTGCCATTGATTTTAAATGGCCAACTTGGTGTAGAATATATAGCTTACAAAAGAGTATGGTACTGTATATGGCTTATGAAAGCATACACGGCATTCTTTTATAAGTCTTATGTGTGTATTTTGTGTAGTGTTTGAGGCACTGGGCAGCTGTGGTGATTCCCAGCATGGGCAATAGTGGCTGCCTGAACCACATGCTTTCTATTTTTTTTTTAAAGAGAGAGAAAGATCTGTTGTAGTAATTGTATAGCTATGAATAGAGTTTAAGAAAAAGAGAGATAAGAGTTGTTTAGTACCAAGGATAGCCATTTACAAAAGTACTTTGTTTATATTTAAGGCATAAGAGTTCTTATGCCTTAAAAACCCATGGAACTGCCTACCTGCCGAAGCCGTAAACGCTAAAACTTTGCTGGGTTTTAAAATACAGCTAGAAAAAATCATCAGGGCAAATGGTGGGACCTTTGACAAGCCACCAGCTTCTGGTCCTCGTCGAGGTCACTATTATTAGTGGCCCTCAGGTAAATTCAGGTAAGGTAATTATAGTCATATAATTACTAATATGAATGCCCATGTATGCAAGCTTTTTTCCTGCAGATTAGATCATAAGGAAATCAAGGAAGCATGGTTGAGTGACGCAAGTGTGTGTACCACAGTAGTGAGGGCACCAAGTCTAGTGGTTAGAGCAAACAGGTCACAACTGATTGTTTGTGGGTTCAATTTCCAGCAGGCCATGATATTTAGGCATGTTTCTTTGCATCTGAAACTTCTGTTCACCTAACTAAATATGGTACCTGGAGATTAATCAGCTGTGGAGGGAGTCATTTTGAAAATCAATTATTGGCTAGAGGAATGTAAATAATGTTACAGGCTTGCTTTCCCTAACACTGGGGAAGTACTTGGTCGGCCACACAGTTGGCGGGGTACCAAGGCTCTGGCTGATTGAGGCTCTTCTCTGCCACACAGTATTTTCCCAGATGTTTCATGGACCTTGTATTTACTCCAGCGCTCTCTCTCATCACTTAGATATAGATGGTAAGAAACCTTTTTATTCTAAAGAAACACAGCTGACTGAATGTGTGAAGAATAGATTGCAAACAGCTTTGTGTTCACACTCTTACCTGTGGTTGGCTATCCGAAATTATAGAAAGTTTTACACTAGACTTGAGGAAATGAAGTTATAAGTAATCAAATTACTTTTGGTATATTAATGGAAGTTTGCTTACATATACAGTAGTAAAATGCATTAATTTAGGTGAATATTATATACACAACTTTGTTATATTTCTTTTAAAAGAGACTGAAAGTCATATGAAGGGATATAACAGGACAAATTGTTGTCAGTGTTTTGATTTGTATTTGTGGTGTAACCTTGAATGGTTACAGTTATGGCCATATTTGTTCTGGGTCCAATTCAACAGAAAATAATATACAGTATATCTCTGAAATTAAAATAAATAAAATAAATTGCATAGCTTACTAACATATTTTGGACACTACAGAAAAAGATTCCCTGAGAGGTAATTATACAAGAGTACTGTGAGCTCATTGATGTTAACAAATAAGATCTCTAGTAGAAGCTCATTGATTTTAAGCAGTAAGCTCTCAGCAAGTGGTTGTGTGCTAACAGATCTCACACTGGTGTAGGTTCCCAGTCAATCTTTGGTGTTCGTTTAACAAAGGATGTATTCTGGTAAATAGTTATGAAGCATTTATTTGATCATTTATTTAATTTTGTGTGTCATGCATTCTATTTCAAGTTAACAGAGAATGGTTACCTTACCTAATGTGTTATAATTATTTAATAATTGCGGCAGGTGTTGTGTTAGTGACGGTAACAGCATTTACATCGATGATGACGTCTATTTAGACTGATGCCAGCCATGCACTAAGATAAATTAAATTGGGTTGAATGTGGAATTCATGGTAGATACTGGATGACTTGAAGGTTAAACTTCTTTTTATTTTGTTTTGAGCCTGGTTAATATTAGTGGCAACAGTGCTGGGTATTAGTGTTGTGTTTGTGGTGTTGGTATGTTGAGAGGGAGCGAGTGGCACTTGACCTAGTCACAGTGGATGACCTCGTGGGGCTCATGTTGATGTATTGCAGCAGTATTATTCCTTAAGACAAGCATATTATATGGTCATAATGGCTTAGTGCTTTCTACTTTACCTTCATATATACTGTATCTGTCTGTGTGTGTGTGTGAATACAGTATATGTATGTATGTAGACTGAGTGACTGACAGACTGGCTGACTTTGCAGCATTGTAATTTTTGTTGATTACTTTGGAAATCATTGTGCTTACTCAAAAG